TACATATATACATATACATAGATATATATATATATGTATGTCTAGAAATATATATATATATATATATATATATGTATACATATGCATGTATATATATATATATGTATGTCTAGAAATATATATATATATACATACATAGATGTATATATACATTTATTTATTTATCTATTTATTTAGTTTTTTATCTATTAATATTATTCTTTGCATTCTTACTCTCATGGTGTGATGCATATCTTTTCTTATGGCGTCTATTGTTACTATGTTTATTCGCACTACGTTGTCACGGTTATGTGTGCTAATATACTTATGGTGCTTATTCTTCTTCTTCTGACAATGCGAACAGCACAAGCCATCTGATGCAACTGGCCCAGAAGGACCCGCGGTTGCCAGCCTCATGGAGTCCGGAAAGGCCTCACCCAAACCCCTGAAAACAAGAGAAGAAAACCTAAATCCTAAACCCTAAACCCTCAACCCTAAGCCCTAAACCCTAAACCCTGAAGAAGGGTTTCGGGTGTTTTGGGGCGTTTTGGGGTCCAAGGGTGGAGAGTTTCGGGCACATCCCAACTCCTGGATGGCTTCCTCCAGGGCGGCCTGCTGCTCCTTGCAAGCTCAGCTGTGGCGTTTTGGGTATTGGGCTTTTTTTCCGCTCCCAGGGTTTACGGTTTAGGGATACTTCCTTGTTGGCATGCTGGTTTCGTGTTTGTCACTCTTGCGACACCTGCTGTTGTGGTTCCGAGAATTGTTGCCGGCATGTTCGGCGCGATGTTGCCGCTCTTACAAGCTAGTCGTTTTGTAGCGACTTGTGTGAGTGTGGCAGGGCGCAGTGTGCGCTCTCGATTCTGCAACGGTGCTGTCGGCAGAACAGAAGACATCATGATACACAACAAGTTGTTACGGACGATAGCTACTTTAACCCTTCTAGAAAGAAATGCTCACTGCCTCGTCATAGCAGACGTAAAGGAAGATAGGAGCCGTGTAAGATGCAAACCCTGAACCCTTTTGCAACAGGCTTCTGTGTATCCGCCCGGAAGTGTCCCAGCCGTTCTCCGAACCAGGCAAGACACAGAACCCTAAACCCTATAAACCCTAAACCCTAAACCCTAAACCCTAAACCCTAAACCCTAAACCCAACCCGCCTAAACCCCTCGAAAACTGACATCCCCAACTCTTCCGCCCCAGAAAGATTGGCCGCCCGAGTCGCCGCGATCAAGCCCAGAAGGCGCCGCTGCTCATCGGCAAGCACGGCATCCGGCGGATCCTTTAGGGCTTAGCCCTAAACCCTAAACCCTAAACCTTAAACCCTAAACCCTAAACCCTAAACGGAAAGGCTTTAGGAGGGCCTCAGGAGGGCTTGCTGGCATGTTCGGGGGTTTGGGTGTCAGGCCTTCTTGGGCTCCTGGGCGTGGGGTTTAGGGTTTAGGGTTTAGGGTTTAGGGTTTAGGGTTTAGGGTTTAGGGTTTAGCGTTTAGGGTTTAGGGTTTAGGGTTTAGGGTTTAGGGGGTTTTAGGGTTTAGGGTTTAGGGTTTAGGGTTTAGGGTTTAGGGTTTAGGGTTTAGGGTTTAGGGTTTAGGGTTTAGGGTTTAGGGTTTAGGGTTTAGGGTTTAGGGTTTAGGGTTCAGGGCTTTTTTGAAAAGCACTCTCTGAAGCAGCAGGTTGTTTTTGAGGGTTTAGGGTTTTTTCCCTTTCCTGCACAGCTGGGGCGAGTCCGCATCGGTTTAGGGTTTAGGGTTTAGGGTTTAGGGTTTACGGTTTTAGGGTTCGGGTTTGGGGTTCAGAGTTTAGGGCTTAGGCGGCATGTTTTGCCAGCTGCCTAGCAGCCTCGCAACCACACTGCAGGGATGCAAAAGTCCCCCCTTTCTATTGAGGCGGTTTGGGGTTGAGAGTTTGTACCCGAGCTGGGGTACCGACTGTAAATGTTTTCAGCTTTGGACCTTTCAAAGTTCGAAAGGCGAAAATGACAGCACCTCTGTCCCGCAACAAGGAATCCCCAAGCTCCCCAGCTCAATCCCGAAGCTCACTGCTCCCCGCCTCTGTCCCGCAACAAAAACCCCTCAAGCTCCCCAGCTCCGTCCCGAAACTCACTGCTCCCCAACTCTGTCCCGAAACACAGTCCCCCAAGCTCCCCAGCTCAGTCCCGAAGCTCACTGCACCACCCCCCCTCCAAAACTAGGGAATTCGTGTCATGTATCAATTTACCCCCCCCCCCCCCACCCCCAAAAAAAACAAGGAATTCGTGTGATATATCATTTAGCCCCCCCCCGGCACCCCCCCCCCTAATAAGATAGTATCAATAATACGCTGTTTTCTGGCCGTGGTCGGCCCCCTGCTGCTAAAGCAGATAAAACTCCAGCTTCGCTACGCGAGCTTTCGTGACTTTTGGTCTTGGAAGAGTCTTGGCGCTCACCCCCCTAAAGGGGGTTTTTCGCCTTCTTGCCGCGAGCGCCACTCGCCTCAGCCGCCGGTTCTCATGCCATTTCTCTCTCCGCTTTCACTCTCAGCAAGAAAAAGATAGACATGTGGATTCCCTACGACACTGTCTCACTCTCCCACTCTGTCTCACTCTCTCCTTTCTCATGCCTTTCTAAAACTTGCACGGCTTGGCCTGCGGACCCCGGCGCACGTCAATCTGCAACAAAACCAACATGCCATTCATTATTTTCTCTATCTCTCTCTCCGTCGCACTTTCTCTCTCTCTCTCTCTCTCACACACTAGCCTGTGTCGGCCAAGGCTCAAAGCTCGCCTTCGCAAACACACTTCCTCCTTATCTTTCTTTCTCTCTCTTTCTCTCTCTCTCTCTCTCTCTCTCTCTCTCTCTCTCTCTCTCTCTCTCTCTCTCTCTCTCTCTCTCTCTCTCTCTCTCTCCCCTTTCCCTCTCTCTCACTCCTCACGCCTCGTCGTCCTTCTTGTCCTCAGCCGGCGCTTCCTCAAGACTCACTCTGTTTCTTTCTCGCTTTCTCGCTTTCTCACTCTCTCTCTCTCTCTCTCTCTCTCTCTCTCTCTCTCTCTCTCTCTCTCTCTCTCTCTCTCTCTCTCTCTCTCTCTCTCTCTCTCTCTCTTTCTTTCTGCGCACCTAACCCCCTTTATTCAAGGGGGCCGCCCGAAGGCGTGCGTTACAGAGTGGAGGATGAACTGAAGCTGTGGAACTGCCAGGGGCCATTATGCTAAAACGTGGTCTATGTGAGTGGTAAAGGACCCGGCTCCCTTTCGTTCCCTGTCCAGCTTAGTTATCCCTTCGTCCCTCCACAACAGATTGACTCCCTCGGTGTGTTAGTAGGAATGTGTGGTATCCCCTGAAGTGACCGCCCCAATACGAGTTGTAGGGAGTCAGGTTGTGGGCTGTTCAGGACGGTGGGGCATGGTGAGACTTCGCAGCTTGCCCGGGCTGGTGGGGTGGAGGAAGAAGACTAGGATAAAACGAAGGGGCTAATCTCCTGGGTGGTTGTGGTGGGCAGCCGCTATCGTAGCCGACACTGGGGCTGGGGCTCCGGCCTCTGTCTTCTGGTTACACTAGATTGGAGGTTCTTGGGACTGGTTGAGGGTGTTGAGGCCTGCCCCGCGTCTCCCGCCTTCGTGGGGTAAGTGTGGAAACAGCTTGCAGTATTTGGGGCTCTCTCTTTCTCTCTCTCTCTCTCTCTCTCTCTCTCTCTCGCCCCTCTAGGCTTCGTCATCACCCATCCTCCGCCGCTTCTCGTCTCTCTCCTCACGTCTTCTCTCTCCTCTCTTCTCGATCTTGATCAGCTCTCTTCTTGCAGATCATCTCCTACCTTCATCCTCTCTCTCTCTCTCTCTATCTCTATCTCTCTCTCTCTCTCTCTCTCTCTCTCTCTCTCTCTCTCTCTCTCTCTCTCTCTCTCTCTCTCTCTCTCTCTCTCTCTCTCTCTCTCTCTCTCTCTCTCTCTCTCTCTCTCTGTGTTTGCTACCCTTTTCTACCACACTCCCTCATTCCTGCCTCTTCTTCGCGTGCTGCTGCGTAAAGCCTCAATCTGAGAAAAACGCTCCCTGCCCACACAAGCTCTGTCAGAACCCCGAGGAGCCAACTTCTTGAAGCGCTCCGGCGACGCCATGACGTGCCTGGAGTTCCCTTTGCCTGACGAACGAAAAAATGCAGAACTCGCGCCGCAAAAACACTCCCCACCCCATCCAAGCCGCAGACCCACATCAACGAAGACGACGATGTGGGAAGCCTCCACGAGACCACGCCCA